GATTCTCTTCCCGCGCGTCAGCAAGCCGGCGACGGGTGCTCCATCCCGCGTGAGGCGGTAGTGATGGCGGCGGGGAAGCCCTGGTAAGACTTCCCCGGACCGTCCAATTTCTTTAGGGTTAGGGTTTCATTTTCTCTGAACCGAAGTTCGTTTCTCTTTCTTTTCTTTCTTCTTTTCTTTGCCCCGATCTAGATCACACGCTAGCAACCATGGCTCCGATACCATTGTTAAATTCGTAGATTACCTCTGTGTAATCGTAGATCCGGATCTGGCAGCGCCTCCCTCTGGATCGGATTAGGGTTAGGACAGTGGGGCTATTACTGTAGCAGTGAACCTCGTGTCAAGAGCCGTTTGCCCCACCTCCTCTTTATAGGCACTGTGCAACGGGGGCCCACCGCCACTAGATGGCTGAACGTCTCCGGTCAGGACTGCGGTCAAGGGGTCCGTCTCAACCGTTGGGTCAAGACGGATGAGATCAATTCTAACAGGGGATGGTTGTGATGAATGTGGGGGTTAGGGGGCGATGGGAATGGGGCGGTGGGGGATTGAGATGAGGTTGTGGATGAAGAGGTGGTGGTTGAGGTGGTGGTGGTTTGTGAAGAGGATGAGGATTATGTGGCGGCGGAATTGGGGACCTCAGTGCAGGACGGGGAGGAGGTGGGTGCGCATCGATGGATCCACAACAGATGAATGACTGCGAGGCAGGAACGGAGTGCGTACCATTGGCCGGGGTCGGGACTATGGTCGTGACCGAACCATAGCCCTTCTCCCATGTAGTTGATTCTTCACGGTGCCCGCTGGGCCAGTCGATCGTGACTTCGGCAGATGGGCGCGCTGCGACCGACTCCGGTGAGGGCATTAGGGCGGTGATCGGCTCGCGAACCTTCCGATCCCAGTGCTGAGTGAGGCGCTTCGTCTCGGTGCGCATTGTGTCGAGCACCCCGTCGACGCTCGGCTTCCGGTCGTTAAGAGCGTTGACCGCGTCCTCGAGGGTTGTGACTGGATGTCCTGCTCGTCGTAGATCTCAGCGAACCGCACCAGCTCGACCTCTCCCATCCGGTTCTCTAGGTCGACGATGCGCGAACCGAAGTGGTTCATCCAACCGTCGCTGCCTGGAGGGACTCGGTGTGGACGCTGCTGTGCTCCTCGAGAACGGCGACACGGGCGACGATGTGCTGTTGGTTCTTCGCCACCGTGTCCTCGACGATGGTGAAGCGCTGCTCCCAGCGCTCGTCGATCCCGTCGAGGCGCTTGAGGATCTCGTCGAAGGCCGTCTTGACACTAGGCTCCATGACTCCCCACGAACGCTGCAGCCAAGTGAAGTGCTCGTGCGGCGGCGGAGGCGCCTAGGAAAGGGGCTTTGATACCCGTGTTAGATTCTAGAAGGAGCTGATTTTCTTTATGACGAGGCATTCTAGGACGGACGACCATCCCATCGCTGAGATTTTTCCAATCGGACGGCTCGGACGTCACGACCATACGATTTATGGCACCGAGTTCTTGTCACATCAGCATCAAGTCGTCCCGTCGCGCCACCCAGGCCTCGAGGCTCGGCACTACGGTTTATGATCACGAGCGCATACTTGAAGTTTCAATTTTTATAAGATGACAAACCTTGGTAAGCGATTAATATGTTGTTGAAACTTTATATTATTATTATTTTGTTATTTTGACAACCTCAAATGATAAAATACAATACTATGAATTTATAAATCTCATGAAGAGCTACAATTTTTATATACAAAGTATCTTTATCTAACACCATACAATAAAAGATATGATTTTTCTAAGATGATAAATTTGGGTGATTAATATGTTGCTGAAAATTATAATATTTTTTCAGCATCTTAACGATCTCAAATAAAAAAAATAAGAACAAGAAAGTTATAGATCTCATTGAGGACTATAATTTTCATATACAAATCATATTTATCCGAGGTTGTATGAAAAAGATACGATTTTTCTAAGGTTGTTAGTGACATGTGGATCTCATATGTTAGATCCATGTAAGCGCTGAGATCCGCCGCTACAGCAGCCATCCAGGCCACTCGGAGGTCCACATCGACGATGCCCACTATGTGTTCACTGAAATACCCTCAAGGTAACATATGTTACGAGTTCTGCTTTTTTGAGGATTTTTTAGTTTATTTGAAACGGATTTGACTGTTTCCTTGCATTTTAGTCTGCACTAGAGTGAGAGCTTCGATTATTATTAGGTATTAGTGAATCATAAGCGCCAAGAATCAGCAGGCATCCTTCACGACCTGCAGCATTACATTACTAGGCTCTAAAACACTGTGACAAAACATCAGTAAATTTTTCTAAAGTTTTAACTAGAAGTTTTTCATACGTTGCATGCAAAATACTTTTAAGCTATGTCTTTTATATGAAACGATTGTGTTCCTCCACAAAACCCTTGGCCTAGCAAAAGGGATTGGTGCGTGTTATCTTTTCCTTTGTTCATGCTGCTTACATTGTACCAGTGTTAACGATTTTAATTGTAGGTGTCTGATCCCTTTTCAGCTGCTGAAGGATTGCCCATGCAGCAGCATAAGTCTTTTTTATAGGTGATTACCTGATATTTGCACAAGAAATTTCTCCTTCATATTTGTGTCCTTCAACAACAACCTTTTACAAACCTGTAGCCTACCTAGTTCCAACTCATGCTATGCTATTTTAATGTAGAGATCCTTTAATGAAATGGTTACATACATGGAAGGGCCGCATATATTACCCAACATCTACAATCCATGTGAAAGGCTCATCTACGTAACTTTCTCCATTCTCAGTACTGCCTATTTTTTCCTTTTTCTTTCTGAATTGCCGATGGTTTATCTTCTTTAGATGTATGAGCATGTTCGTTGGTTGGTTTCTAGGCTGATAAGCTCGGCTGATGCTGGTTTGTTGTGAGAGAAAAACACTGTTGACTGGTTGATAAGCCCTGGCTGAAACCAACAAGCAAACAGACTGGAAGTATCTACCATCATGTGTGTCCTTGATATTTTCAAACATCTACGGGATGTCTGTGCTGTTGCTTAGTTGCCTTTGGAATAAAATGATCGAACCGCACGTTGGGTGCGGCAGCTGATAAACAACATATCTATATACAACTGAGATAAACGACCATTTCCTTTTGTTCTCACATTTTCTCGACAATCTGTTTGGTATTCCGTTACTGACTTGCTGCTGCTATTTGTAGGACCTCCTTTCATATGTTGATTCAATTTGACAAGGCCAGATCATCTTTACCTTAGGATACTCGGTGGCCTTCTTATGTTCCTGGCGTCCATGTGAATCATTTTTCCTCTTGATATTCATTTCATCAAGAGGAAATGGTACTGGTCACCAGTTTTATTTTTGCGTCATGCTTTCAATCTTCACGGGTCGATCCTCAGTGGTTTTGATTTGCTCCTTTTTTTCCATAATGGTTGGTTATACATATTCATAGAATGCTCCCAATCCAAGAACCGAGGTAGGCAACATTTCGGGAGGTTTGGCCGATCAACTTTTGGAGTTCGATTTGGAATTCATGGAGCTAGCTAGGCTCGTGGTGCAGCCAACTCGAGCTCAGCGACGGCCATGGATACCACTAGGCCCCTGGAGGCGAGCGAACAGGGCAGCCGCTCCAGGCCCCCCAAACCAAGGGGCCTTCCAGACAGTATGTTATGCTATAGTTGTTTCTGCTGCACTATTTCAGCAGTACTTTTCAGCGAACGAATAATGTTTTTCTCTCACAATAAATCAGCATAAGCCAAATTTTAGCGAAATGAACAACAGCGTAGTTGGTATAGTATGCGGTATTGTAGCGGTACATGTAGTGCGGGCACCTAGGAAGCAAGCTAGTGCTAGAAAGTAGCAATTTAGGGCTTATTTGGATCTCCTCCTCTAAACTATAGAGGTCCAAACATTTTAGAGCACTTTAGCTCAGATTTAAGGCCTAGCTCTAATGTGAGATATACTAAAGTTTAGTGATAATTTTAGACCACCTATTTGAGGACTTTAGCTCTAAAGTTTAGAGTTCTAATGTTTAGATGAGAGAATCCAAACAGGCCCTTACAATTGTCAATTGGCCATTTGGGCCTGGCGCAAAACAAAGTGTAGCAGTAATTAGCAACTTGCTTGCAACGTAGCGTGCAATGTCGACGCTCATAATTTAGCTAGGAGCTTGATCTCTCTTGTTACAAGCAAGCATATGTCTGGCTGTTAGAACCGCCTATTGGCGCGGCATTTGTAATTCGTATGACCAACTCCATCAATAAAGAGCGTGGCATATTCTCTCTTAAAAAAACTAGTATGCAACGTAGCGTGCCGTGAGTAGGTGCAGTAATTTGATATGAATATTGCTTTTGATACCCTTTAAGTGTTTATTGGTAATATTCTGTTTATGTGTTTAATTATATAGTGTTTATATATTCAGGGGACCTCAGAGTTAGGGGTGGTTTAGTTGGCGATTTTTTTGGAAAATAGTACCGTAGCATTTTCGTTGTTATTTGGCAATTAGTGTCCAATCATAGTCTAATTAGGCTTAAAAATTCGTCTCGTGAATTTCGTCTAAACTGTGTAATTAGTTTTATTTTTTATTTATATTTAATGTTTCATGTATGCGTCCAAAATTCGATGTGACGGAAAATCTTGAAAAAATTTACAAAATTTTGGGAACTAAACATGCTCTTAGTTTAGCTCTAGACCCCGAAAATCTCAGCACCGGCACAGGACAGCACACCGCATAACCGCTTTATATTCTTACCTGAAATACCCAAGCAGCAGGAGCATTGGAGACGGCACGCTGCTTGCCTGCAACGCCAGCTTCCCTTCCTTCCCGCCGTTTTGGCGTTTTCAAATCCCAAGCACCTTCTCCCAGTCCCAGCCAAGTGTTTTCCTCCAGCTTTATATATAGCACGCCACCACAAGCTTCAGTCAGCAAAGCTCGATCAGAGGGTGTGCAGCGCAGCTGGTTCCGCTCCAAGAACTAGCTAGACTAGACATACACTCACACATGCATGGCGGCGGCGTCGTCGTCGTCTATCTCCGGATCCCGCACCTGCTACCCTAGCGTTCCAATGGCCCGCGGCGGCCAGCGACGCACCAGCGGCTGCACCGTCATCAGGAGCTCCTTGATGCCCTGCTCGCCGCTCTCGACGCTGCTGATCGGCAGCAAGTGGGCGGAGCTCCAGGGCGCGCGGGACTGGGACGGCCTGCTGAGCCCGCTGGACGGCGCGCTCCGGGGCGAGCTGGTCCGGTACGGGGAGTTCGTGCGCGCGGCCTACGCCAGCTTCGACTCGTCCTACGGCTCCTGCCGGTTCCCGACCTACTCCCTGCTGCACTGCGCGGGGATGCCGGGGACGGGGTACCGGGTCACGCGCCTCCTCCACGCCACGTCCACCTCGTCGTCCGGGTGGCTGCCGTCGCCGTCGCCGTCGCCGCCCCGCGGCTCCAGCTACATCGGCTTCGTCGCGGTGTGCAACGACGAGCGCGAGATCGAGCGGCTCGGCCGCCGCGACGTCGTCGTCGCGTTCCGCGGCACCGCTACGTGGGGCGAGTGGGTGGACAACTTTAAGTCCGGCCTGACACGGCTCCCGGTCCCGACCGGCGAGGAGAATGGAGAGGAGGAGGCGATGGTGGAGAGCGGGTTCTGGAGGCTCTTCACCGCGCCAGGCGAGGCGGCGAGGCGCACACAGCAGCCTGCAGCAGCAGGTGCGCGACGAGGCGCGGCGGATCGCCCGTGAGTACGGCGGCGAGAGCGGCACGCCGTCGCTACGCATCACGGTGACGGGGCACAGCCTCGGCGCGGCGCTCGCGGCGCTCACTGCCCACGAGATCGCGACGGCGCAGCAGCGACAGGAACACGCGCCGAAGATGATGGTGACGGCCGTGTCGTTCGGCCGGCCGCCCGTGGGCAACGCGGCGTTCCGGCGCAGGCTGGAGGAGAGCGGCAGCAAGGTGCTCCGCGTGGTGAACTCGGACGACATCGTGACCAAGTTGCCGGGGTTCCCGGTGCACGAGCACGACGACTGCAGCGAAGGGGATGATGAAGGCGAGGGCGCTGCCGAGGTGGCTAGGTCTCCAAGATGGGGTGGGCGTACAGCGACGTGGGGCGCGAGCTGCGGCTGAGCAGCAGCAGCAGCAGCAGCCAGGCCCGGTTCGGCACCCAACGTGGTGGCCTCGCATGACCTCGACTTGTACCTCAAGCTCGTCGCTTCCTGCACAGACTAGATAGGAAAATGACCTACGTACACACGTAGTGCATGTTGTAGAGCAAAGCGATTAGAAGACACATGTCACTCTGGCACTCTGCTGCATGGCCTACAAAACTGACCAGGGTCCAAACTTTGTCTACCATCTTGTGTTGTATGTTCATGCACAAATCACTTGCATCCGCAGATTGACGGCTTCGTCTATCTCCATCTCCATTGATATTGGCCGTCACAGGACTTGGTCATTTTACCATCTCATAGGACTTGATCGTTTTTACCATGCATCTTCATCAGTTGGTTAAATGTTTGAGCTTCTTTCTCACATCAACACCACCACTATGTTTTATAACACTGCTACAGAATTGACCTTCACTATTGGCCCATCATTGTCGATTTCTTACAAACCAGCAGTGATAGTGCTTGCCTACTCATCACTGCTGGTTTGTGGCTAAAACCGGTAGTGATATTGTAATCATCACTGCCGGTTTTAGCCATGAACCGACGCGGCGACGCCCGGAGTGATATTGGGTCATCACTGCTGGTTCGTAGCTTGAACTGGCAGTGATATACAACGGTTGTTAAGGATCTTGGATAGAGAAGTGACTAAAATAAAAGTTGTAGATCTTGAGAAGTAATGTAACTTTGTAATTCACAACTTTTTTATTTAAAGTCATTTTTTATTTAAAGTCATTTTGATGTCGAAATATTTGATTCACAAGATTTTATATAAGTTAATACTGAAGGAATTCATATGCTTTATAGTCATAAGCGAATGTGTAGTGGTAGGATCTCGGATGGAGAAGCAACAAAAACAAAAGTTGTAGATCTAGAAAAGTTATGCAACTTTATAGTTGATAACTTTTTTCATTTGAAATCATCTATTCAACAAAAATTACGTTTTATTTCTCAAATTTAAAATTCAATTTTTTCAAATGACCTCGGATGGAGAAATGACCAAAACAAAAGTTGTAGATCTCGAAAAGTTATGTAAATTTATAGTTGACAACTTTTTTCATTTGAAATCATCTACCAAGAAAAATTATATGTGAATTTCGTCATAGTTGAAATTCAAATTCTTCAAACGATATGAAGTGTGCCATAGACCCATATTGCAATAGCAGGATTGCGAGTAAGAAGTAGGAGGCAATATGATGTTGCTTGATATTAATTTTGCCCTTTCCTTTTATGCCGAACTCTAAGGAGGAAGAGAAAATTAAGCAAAATACTAGCAGATATAAAAGATAGTTCGAATAACTGCTCTCTTTAACCAGACACGAATCCCTGCCTACTCCGCCCTCCGCCCACTGTTTGTTTTTTTATTTTTTATTTTTCCCTTTTCCTTTTCCTTTTTTTTACTGTTTTTTCTTGTTTTTATTATTTCCCTTCAAAAAACACGTGCAACGGGTAATGGGCGCACACAGCGAAGCGCGTGGACTGTGCTAGTGATTATAATTTTCTAGGTAAAATTCGAATGATTGTATTGTGACGTAGGCCCAGTTCACTTCGCTGAAAAAACAAACCGAAATACTGTGGCCCCATTTGCTTCACTGAAAAAACAAACAAAAATACTGTTTCAGCTGATTTGTTGTGAGAGAAAAACATTATTCCAACTAAAAAACAAGCAAAAGTACAGATTATAAGAGAAACAAACAGGGATATGTTCCGTCTGATTTGTTGTAAGAGAAAACACTGTTCTGACTAAAAAAACAAGCTGAAAAAGATAAATCATAAGAGAAGTGAACAGGGCCGTAGAAGTAACGGGCACTGAGAACATAATAATAATAAATAGATACAACCATAGTCGCAATATATACTTTGAAAGCTATCCATGAACTGAACTTATCAAAACATGACTTGGTTCAAAGAAAGCAGAGTGCTGCATCTTCTAGGATTTGGAGCGAAAAAGCGACCGGCCGGTTCACCGTGCTACCTCGGAAGGAGAAGGACTGAACTGGTCTGCAACCGGGTACAGATTTTACTAGGGCCTCGTTTAGTTCCGCCGAATTGGCGTCGGCAGCAACACTGTAGCAACATTGTAGCTACAGTGTCGTTTTGTTTTATTTGGTAATAATTGTCCAATTGTTGACTAATTAGACTCAAAACGTTCATCTCGCAAAGTACAACCAAACTATGTAATTAGTTTTTGATTTCATCAACATTTAGTACTCCATGCATGTACCACAAATTTAATGTAACGGAAAATCTTCTTTTTGCATAGTGTCAAATTCTGGAATCGGAGGGAACTAAACGCGGCCTAGTAGTACTAAACAAATGCAAGCCTAAAAGGTATTACATTCTTTCTAGCATGAACACATGAGCCCAAAAAAAACTATTACATTACGGAGAAAATGTTCAATTTATTGCAGTTACAGACTTACAGTGAGCTGGTATAACACCGGTTATAGAATTAACACATGTAAGGGCCCAAAACAATTGTTACATTACCGACAAGATGTGCAGTTAGTAGTTACAGTGAGAAGGTACAACACCGGTTATAGAATTTATTACTAGCACCAAACACACGCAAAGTCTAAAAACTTACTACATTCTTTCTAGCACGAACAAATAAATGCAAGTTTGAAAATAAAATTACTACGTTCTTTCTAGCATGAACAAAGGAGCCCCCAAAAATTGTGCCTCACGGAGAATATGTGCCATTACCATTTTTTTTATCTGTCTACCTTTTACCCAAGTGACGTGACGCCCGAGTGACACATGCCAAATAAACACTCGAAACTAGCCGGTTCATAGAATCGAGTGTTCTAAGTCCATGAAACACTCGAATTTTATAACCACAGGAATTATCAAAATAAATTCAAACAGATAGAACATATAAAATAAAAAATCATCCAGATTATTTTTATGAAAGCCAAATTAGAAGATTTTTAAAGGGGAACCAAATAAAACATACAGACAAACAACAGGATTTAGATCAAATGATCAAAGTTGATTCAAACAAATAGAACATATAAAATAAAAAATTACCCAGATTATTTCTATGAAAAGGCAAATTAGAAGATTTCAAAGGAAACCAAATAAAACATACGGACATATAAAAAAGAGCCAAAAAATGATCTGACTAATTTTGACTACTCTAATTTACGGATAATTAATTTATACCAATTAAATATAGAATTTACGCCTAAATAGAAATAGTAAAACGTGGTTCGATACGATGTAATCCGCTCCCGTTAAAGAAATAAATCTGTATCAAGGGCGAGGTGACGTGATAGCGACGGATCAGCAGTGAGCTGGTGCACCAACCTTGCTGCAACACTAGTAGGTAGCTGTACACATGCATGCCTAGCTAGTGGGTAGCTGGTGGTCTTAGGGCAGAAAAAAAACGAGGCGTATATCATGCACATCTCTGGTCGTAGAACAGAGTAGAGTACTCACACAGCACTAACCGAAAAAACGAGGCACCCGACCTCCGTGCACCTGCAGGCTGCAGCAGCATGCACGCCATCTCCACCCGCCCGTCCAGTCCCGTCCTGTGTCCGAGGGGGAGCGGGCGTGGTGTGTGAGCCCCGCGATCGGATGGCAAAAAAAAATCAAGTGACACAGGCCACAGAATTGCCCGAGTAACGTACAGATTTAGTGTTTTTTATTGTTAGCAGGTACAACAGGTTAGCTGATCATCTTATAGTACAAAATATTAGCTCAGGGTCCCGGCCCAAAGGTTTTTTTTTTCGATTGGATAATAAAGTGGAAATGGGTTCTGATGCCTGAATCCATGAACCCAAGAATGTGGCCAGGAAACCAAATGAAGTCAAAATAAATAAAAGACTATGATAATAAGACCTTGCATTGCATCCGGTGCATGCATGCTCATCAACCCAGCCGCCATAGTAAGTAAATCCATGATGATTTGGCCTGCTGGATTGTCCCCAGTCAGATCGAGAAGCTTTGTTGAACCGATGGATCGGATGCTGTGCCCCAGCAGCTAGATCCTCAGCTCAGTGCTGACTGCCTCTTCTTCGCCATGACTTGCTTTCATTCTCTTGGGGTGATCTTGGGAGGCCCGTGGCCGCCGATCCATGCCACCAAGCGAGGCGCTGGTTCTCGCGGAAACCGTGGCAGCAGCTGGTTGAGCGGCGGCGGCCATTATTTGTGCAGCAGGGAACCATTCCTCATCTCTGTCTCTGCGAGGGCGATGCAGCATTGTCGCCTCTGCACTCTCCGCCCTGCAAGAAGCAAACCAAAAGCGCAACAAAAACAAGGGAAACAACACTAGAGTCAGACAGATTCAGCACGGTACAAAGCGCAGTCCGATCATCTCGTTCATCGGGATATATAGGTAGGCTGCCCATACCATATACCGCCCCTCTGAGATTAGGAGTACGTTTGTGCTAGAGATCGAAGAGAGACCCCCAAGCCATGCTAGCTCTTATGAAGATATGATGTGCTTGCTTGCATTGGGGAGTACGTGTTAATAAAGGTATATATATGGTATGGCATGGCATAGATTGAAAAAGATAATGGCATGAGTTTGCTCCCTGCCTTTGCTTGCGTTTGTCCAGGAAGCGGGCGAGGGATGCCGTCCTCTTAAGACCTAAACCAATATAATGCAAGCCACGACTAATTAAGGTGCACATTATCCGTGTATGTATGTATATATATCACTGCAGTGCAATGCAATTTTCAGGGAGGAGGGAGTCTTACTATCGTTGACATGATGATGAGCCAATCTCCAATAATGCATTGTCATCAGCGCTGCATCACCTGTGGCTGTGGGTGCAGCAACTAGTTCTAACTGCGGCCCTCCTGCCAGGATTCTTGCAGCACGAGCCTCCTTTGCTACCATATCCAGGATCTTCTCGGCCTGCATGTATGGCATATATACATCCCTGATTTGTTCAGTATTTTTGCGCTCGCAGTCACAGCCACAGTGCCACACACATCGACAACTTAATTGGT